GTGTTATCCGCAGAGAAGGCTGAATTTAAATTTTCTGGGTCACATGTGGGCAGGAGATATGTCCAACGTAATAATTTTTCCCGCCCAAACTTTTACGGGGCTGTACGTGTTACCCGCTGGTAGAAGGAGGCTGAATTCAAATTTGCGGGGTCAAGCGTAGGTGGTGCACGTTCCCTTAAACTTTCAGCTCCTAGCTTTTGCGATTCCCGAGTTGAAAGTTGCGAACAAGTTGCTGCGGACACACACACACACACACACAACCCCGTGACAATATGCGTTTTGTATTGTTACACAGCACAAAACGCATAATAAATGGCCAGTACACCGACTGCCGGTGCGAAGATGTTTTTTTGCATGGTTCCTCGCAGCTTTTGTCACTACCGGCACCTGCTTTTCCAGCAGATGTTTCTAGTTAAGAGAATTGAAACCGGTCACCAGAACTGTCTGAGAACATCCTTTTAAAATTTCAGCTTTCTAGCTTTCCTGGTTTCCGAGTTAGCAACTTACCCGAAAAAAACTTTCATAAGACCGTACGTGGATAACACGCATACCCGGAGGCTGGGTTTGAGCTCCTTAATACCTACTTGGACGGCGAACATCTTAAAGTTCCAGTCTTCCAACTTCTCAGGTTACCGAGTTAGCAACTTGTCCAAAAATTTGGAGAGTCCGTACTTGGGTACCACACAGGTAAGAGCGCCCATTTTGAAGATGGGGGCTCGAAGACGCATGTAGATTATGTTCCCAAAGTTTCAGCCCTGTAAATTTTGTTGGTTTCGAGATTAAAAATCGGTACAGACGCACTGCACACACACAGACAACCTCTCGTCAATATGCGTTTTCTGCATTGCATAGATGCAAAAAACGCATAACAATTTTATACGATCAAATCGGGTAAAACACTTACAGAACTTAGGTGGATATTAGCAAAAAAAATGTTCATCCCTCCCAATGTTCACCTCTTCAAAATATTTCCACCGTTCCTTCTTTCTCCCTACATCATAAGCATCAATCTGAGACAGTCAAAAAACCTGATCTAAAATCCCTACAAAACTGCCAAACATCGTCGCTCGGTAAGCACAAACGTGAACTATTCTGGTGATTCATCATCGAGTATGGGAAGCAGAATTCCAACCAGCAAAATTCATAAATTTCTAAATACCACTGTTCTTCCGTCCATTGCCTAGAAGCGTCCCACTGAACCTTCGCCCCTCGTCATTCAAAATTTTGGGTCCTACTCGATTCGTTGGTTCCGACAAAAGAATACTCTCAAAACAAAGAACCTGAACAAATATGCAGAATTACAGCAGTGCACAGTGATGCAGCAGGTGGTGCTGGTCAGTTTCGTTTACCGAATTTATTCTTTCTGTGGAAAATATCATCAGCGTAAGACTGACTGGGAAGCCGCCTCATCGCCTTGAACGGATACTTGCCAAGCTCGGGCTGTGGATACTTCGCCATCAGATTGTTCGTTTGTTCAGTTGTCAGGCCAGCCGTTG